TCACTTCGATGTTACTAACATAGCTGTTTGACTTCACCCCTGGAAGCACACTCCATTTTCTTGAAACAGACAGATACCAACACCGACACCATTTAGTGATGAGATTCACATTATTTATATCTCACCATGTGTTTCCTTCTTGATTTCTAGCAGACACATTTTAGATACCTGAGATAGTTTTAAAGTTATCCGTTCAGGTTTCTTAACCCAGACAAAAATTCTTTACATGGGCAGAAGCTTCCAATATGTCCCCACCACACTTTCTCTCACCCAGCAAGATCCCTGTGTGCTTATATGGCATCTTGTTTTTTTAAAAGGTGCAGACAGACTTCCCCCACTGCAGCACGCAAAACCCTCCTCCATGACATTTACATGGATATTTCAGTTTCATGGATACAGCTGCTGGGTTTGGAAGCTGTGGCTGGATGGTTACGTGGAAGCCGGTTGAAGTTAAATCCTTCGAAGACAGAGGTCCTCTGGCTGGGACGGGACGATATGGGATTGGGGGGGCAACTCCCATCTCTTGCGGGGTGCAATTAGTGCCAGCACCGTCCGTTAAGAGTTTGGGTGTAATCTTCGATACCTCCCTCTCTATGGAGGCGCAGATTACAGCTATAACAAAGGCGGCATTTTTCATCTCCGCCAAGCTAAGCAGTTGGCCCCTTATCTCTCTCGCCCTGACCTAGCCACTGTGATCCACGCGACGGTCACCTCCAGACTGGATTATTGTAACTCGCTCTACGTGGGGCTGCCCTTGAGACTGACCCAGAAACTCCAGCGGGTGCAGAATGCCGCGGCGAGACTCCTTATGGGGTCTTCGCTGCGAGATCACATTCATCCGGTATTATACCAGCTGCACTGGCTCCCGGTGGAGTACAGGATCAGGTTTAAGGTGCTGGTTTTAACCTTTAAAGCCCTATACGGCCTAGGACCCTCGTACCTACGGGACCGCCTCTCCTGGTATGCCCCACAGAGGAACCTACGGTCTGCAAATAAAAACATCCTGAAGGTCCCAGGCCTCAGAGAGGTTAGGCTGGCCTCAACTAGAGCCAGGGCTTTCTCGGCTGCGGCTCCAATCTGGTGGAACGCTCTGTCACAAGAGACTAGGGCCCTGCGGGACCTGACATCTTTTCGCAAGGCCTGCAAGACAGAGTTGTTCCACCAGGCCTTTGGTCAGGGCCCAGCCTGACTCCCTCCTCTGGCAACCTGCACAGAACTTTGCTCAACGGTTGCCATTAAATTGATTTTAATTAATTTTTATAATGAAATGTTTTAGAATATTGGATTATTTGATTGTTTGATTATTTGTTTGTTGTTAGCCGCCCTGAGCCTGGCTTTGGCTGGGGAGGGCGGGATATAAATAAAATTTATTATTATTATTATTATTATTAATTCAGCTTTATGTGTTTGGCAATTAAAAATTAAATCAAATAAGAAAGGGGGCAGAATTGGGGCAGGTGTCCAGGAAAAAAGACATGAAATTTCACCCTCTATTTCACCCAAAGTGTTTCGACTCTACCCGATGTTGGCTTTACATGCTATCCTAGGAATGTAACCCCCATGTAAGCGGAGTATTGCCTATATTGTATACAGTACACATACATTCAGTAAGGCAGGGATGGGGAAACCTGTGGCTCTCCAGCATTGTAGTCCAACAGAGGGCCACAGTTTCCCTGTCTCTGCAGTAAGGTCTTTATACACATCTATACATTCTTTTCCCTTTCAAAGTCTGCTCTGTAGTATTTATGGACAATAGATTTCTAGCAACAGTTTACATCAACACAGTATTCAGTACTCTATTATAAGAAATTTCTACAAGATAAAACTAGAATCCTAATGTATAATGGCAATATATATTGCATTAATTGCAAATACACTGCTATAACTCTTTTGTTAATTGGAATTAGTTCACTTTTATCAATAAATGAGTCAATAAACTTTATGTTGCTGATGTAACAAGATGCTAGTACATAGATTCATTTAGGATAGGGGGAAACCCACAGGTATTTTGTTTATTTGGCAAATGCAGTTACAAAAGCGGCCTGTAAAAGAGTCTAAGATGTCATTCAAGAATTTGTTCAGTATTCAAGCCCTCTGTAAGTGTGAGGTTTCTCCCCCCCCCAAAAAAACCCCCTCTTCAACTAAATAGTGAAAAGCTAAAAAATCATTGACTGGGTTTGCTCTCAGGGCACATAATTCCATTACATTTTCTTGCTTTTTGTCACTCAGAAGATTCTCTTTTGTGTTGGGCTTAATAGCAGACACACAAATTGTTCCAATCTTGCCTTTTTCCCCCAGCTCCACTTTTCACTTCAGCTATGACAGAGAGCTCAGAGTAGCAATACTTGATGGAAGGGGAAGACATGACTTGGAGATCATAACCCTGCCACGATGAGATTGGCCATTTATGCAAATTCAGTTAGAGCCATTTTTCATACTTCTCTTCCTGTAGCATATCTAAACCAAGCGTAGAGTGCCTCTTCAGAATGAGACACAATATTATTTGCCCCGGTGCATGCTTCCGGAATCAGTCCATCAAGGTACGACATAATTCACACTATGCTGAGCTTTTTACGCAAATTCATGGGACAATGCGAAACAATATATTAGATTCTGAACCCACCCTTCCTCCAAAGAAGAGCAAGAAACAATAAAGCAATAAAATTATAGCTTAAAAAAAAAAGAAAATAATTGATTATGGTATTAAGGGACTTGGGGATGTAAACTAGGTCATTGGCAGATGCCAAAAAAGCAGGGTTCCTAGCTTTTCAGCATTTCACCTGCCTATTTGATAGGATGTGTTTTGCCTTTGTTTCAAGTTACTTTGTTGGATAAACAAAATAGTTTGAGCAGTGCAACTCCACTGGCACAAATTTGCACATATGCAGGGCAAACAGCTGTAGTGAGGGGCCCTTCAGTCATATAGCAGTTCTACATGTGATGGTTTGCAGCTCCTGGGAAAGTCTTCATGTATACAACTGGATGAATAAAGGACATTTGCGCTGCACCAGGTCAGGATCAGGCCTGCTCTGCACAGCCCTGATGCTTGTTCTTGTGCTGCTCAACATGGGAGCAAAGAACACCCAAGCAGGGCCAGTGTTACCTCCCTAACCCTTTTCAATTTTATTTTTATACCATGTTATAAAGACATTTCACCTCACACCCTTCTTAGATTCCCCACAGAAGCAATGCCCCCACAAAGGCCCAAATGACACTGCCTTTCCATAAAGATTCTTCTTTTGCTGGAATTTGCATCTGAATTCACCTTCATGTTCTGTTGTTTCTTCTGCTACGTGGCTGGTATCCAGGGGTGTAAAAGGGGGGTGGGTGGGGGCTGTCCGTCCTGGGTTTCATCCCTGAGGGGTGTGTGTGACAAAATCCCCCTGGGCAGATTGCCGTGCCAAACCCCTGGGCACCAATCACCACGCCAATTGCCCCCCTAGGCACTGATCACTGTGCCAATTGCCCCCAATGGGCGCCGATTGCCCCCCTGGACACCAATCGCTGCACCGATTGCCCCCTAGGCGGCGATCACCCCCTGGGGTGGCTCACCCCACCCCTCCGGGGGCCCGAGCGGCTAGCTTCGCCGCTGCTGGTATCATAATAATCTTTAACATTTTCAGGTCTTATCTGCACAGCACTTTGAAGTGTCAGATCACTTCAAATACATAATCTAGTTGCAATCAGCCCAGAAAGGTCCGTCTCCCATATTGAGGATGGGGAAAAGCAGACTCAGAGAGAGTGCCTTGCTTAAGGCCAGCAGGTTGAGTTCATGGTGTAGGCAAGATTCAGTCCAGGGATTACTGTACCGTATTCTCTTAGCCTCTATGCTGTATCAGCTGTCCACACAAGTGTTGTCTTAATCAAGTAGATTCTTGCAATAATCACACACTTCTTTTTCTAAGCCTCTGATTAGGCAAGGCGATTCATCTCTCTTTTGGCAAATGCAAAGTAACCCCCCTCCCAGTTCTTATTTCACAGGGAAATAGTATATTTAGGGAGGATGTGCAAATGCAAAGTGCAATTAAACATTTTCAAATATGGAGAAACCTCTTCAGCTGGCCTTTCCTTTAAACAATTGACAACACAAACAAGTGGAGTGTTTCATTTACCAGACGCCAGCTGTCTATTGTGAATGGAATTGATGAGGCTGTGATGGCGCATGGTTGCATTGAAGAAATCTGCAAAGGAGAAGCAGCAGGAGGGAGCTCATCCTGCAGGTGCCTCTGTTGGGGGAATCTCTTTCCTCTTGATGTTTTACTGATGTAATGTACAGCTGGTCAAAGAATGCCTTCAGGCTGTTTAAAAGTTTCTATAGGAAGTAGAATGCTTTGATGAAGTTGGTCCCAAAGTATTGCTAGGGAAAGCATCGCTAATTTCATCTGTCTTGTATTCCAGCTGATCATTCCAAGCACCATATTGTGCATCACTATTTATTTCCCACCCACACCCCTCAAATTATTTGAAGTGTTTCACAGGCCAAAGACACAACAGGGTTTTCCATCTGTAAGCATTCTGTACTTTTTTGGTGCAAATCAATACTGGAAGCCAAGCAAGAAATAACTGGGGAAGCTTTTAGATGGACCTCTGCAGGAAGAGAGAATTACTCCGCTAAGAACTTTTGTCTCGGTGTAAGACTCTTTGTGGTTATTTACACCCTTGTTACATGGCATTACTAATTTTAGAAACAATGGAAAACATTATTTGAACTTCACTGAGAACCTGAAAACAATTGAAAGCAAAATGGATCTGTTTGCTGAATACTTGTTCAAGCTGCATTTTTCCTCCACTTAAAATTTTTCTTCACATTTGGATTCTACCCTTCCTTTGTTGAACTTAAAGTTACACACCAGGATTTGAACCATGCCACTTAATCCTCAGAACAGTCTTGTAAAGTAGGTAGGAAGATAGGAAGCTCCTTCAGACCATTGGTCCATCTGTCTACGCTAACTGGCAATGGCTGTCCAGGGTTTCAGGCAGAGGGCATTCCCTGCCGTATCTGAAGATGCTGGCAACTGAACCTGGGACCTTCTGAATACAAAACAGGAGCTCTACCACTTAGCTACAGCCCTTCCCCATGTTGCTCCATGGGGACCATCCATAAAGTATGGCATGCAACAATGGGTGACAGGGGTAAAAAAAATAAAAATGTGAGAAATGAGGCATTGAGTATTTAGCAAAGCAAAATGTGACAAAGGAGAGAGGTATAAAAAGAGGAGGTTAAAATAAAAAGTGTGACATACATTTTGGATTGTGTCATAGCAAGGCCATCCCTTCATTATACTTGCCACTATTTCATTTCACATGGCAATCTTAAGGAATCGAGTCTTTTAAAGAATTCTCTTTAAATGGCTCTGACATTCATATCTGAAAAGATACGTTTATATTCCTGACTTCTAACACCCATGTTTTATTTTATTTTTTGCTCAGTAAAGGAAAACTTTTGTTAGAGCATAGACTGTAGAAGAAACATAAAAGCTTCAAAAGTTATAAGTAACTGAGAGAACAGACATTTTCCAGCAACTTCAGCTAGAACTGTCACAAGTGTTTCAAGTTTAAAAGTAAGAATTAATAAGAGTACATGCTTTCCCAAGTACTGTCTCTCTCCCAGGTGGTATCCTTTCTCTTTCACTAACACCCAACACATGGCACGATACATATTTTTCCTATTTCTAATACTTTTTCCATTTCCATTTCCTTGTTTCTGAAAGGCCATTTGAAAGAAAATGTTCTGGGTAGATGGGGGAAGCTGAGAAGAGAGTGTAACATTCTGGGGATGTTTAGAAGCAGAAGCAAAACCTATTATGTTCTGGGGGAATATGGAAAAGGCAGAAATGCAAATCTGTCCCCATTTTCAGCTAGAGCTCTCCAAAGCCCTGAGGCAGGAAAGCTTTTAAGAATAACTTGCTGGAGCCAACTCCTGTTTAGCAAAGCTCTTAAGCAGACGGTTAACTTCATCAGTGTCAACTGTTATGCTTAGGCAGCTATCCTGAGTGATCTTACTAGGACACAGTGCTATTTTTCTAGAAAAAGAGGTGCTGGAACTCACCATGAACACCTCCTTCATTCTCTTAGAATGGCCATGGTGACCACCTGAGAGGTGCTGGAACTGATTTCCAGCGGGTTTCGGCTGAAGAAAAGAAAAAGAAAAAAACCCTGCTAGGACATTAGCTTGGGTAACACCACTTTCCACTGCTTTCTTTCTCCCCAAAAGGTTTAGTTTCTCCCTTGTTCTTTTCAGCCGCTCTTCCACTTTAAGCACATATACACAAAAGACAGAAATGCTGTTTTCAATGCAGCTGGATCAGATGTTTAAATATTGTTACATGCCACCCCAATCTCCACAAGTGGTGATTCTTCCAGAGGTTCCAGGCAGGGTCCCAGGGTTGTGTTTCCATTGGGAAGGCCAAGGAACAGTGGAGGCTAATGTCTTTAAGAAATATGGTTTATTGCACACATATTTATACCTGGAGGGGGCTTCAATGGAGGGGGTACAGAACATTATACCCCAAGCCTATCTCTCATTGTCCCGCTCATAGCTTCAGCAAGGTTGGGCCCAAATCAGTGATCAGTCATGGCTCCTGATTCTTAGTGCAGCCCCTTCCAGCCAGTGCCAAGATGGTTCTGGCCTGCCCAGCAGTTCAGAGGTCTGCACTTTGTTCTCCTTCTTTTCCCCCAGCACACCTCTCTTCCAAAACCCCAAGCTTCCTCTCCATCACTGTGGAAAAGCCACTTCCGATGTAGAAAGGAGGTGGGGTTGTGGGCTTCACCCTCCCACCATGTGCGCAGGGGGCTGGCTCTCAGCCTCAGCGCAATTAAGGAAATCCCAGATTGCATCATCCCCTGGCCAGCCAATCGGCTGGCCTGGGGGGGCATGGCCTGCTCCATTTAACGCAGGGGCGGCCTGGGATCTCCCTCTTTGCCGCTTCCAGCTGTTATTGTCATGTAGATGGAAGGGGGGGAGGAAGTGCCATCACCTCCCCCGCATATTGAAGTGCAGTCCGATAAAGGATTCGGGGGGGGGGGGGTCGTGGCCCTGTCTGAAGCCTATGGAGGTGAGGGCCTAAGGCACGCCCCCGAGTGGTGACCCTGGGGGAGTTCCTAGTTGATGTGCATCAGCAGGACTCCCCCTACTGGTGGTTACCCCTTTCTGGACTTCAATTGAACAGGCTGAAGCCGGATAGTCGGTTAGGACCAATGCCTAAGCCAATACTGCTCATCACCTGTAACCAATAAAGTTGTGGCCATATTTAGCTCATTAACCTTAAATATCTGTGTCATGTGTCTTTATTTCCACTGGGGGGAGGCGGGAACTCGCCACACAACCCCTGTTTTGCACAGGCCCGAGAACTTTATTAGATGTGTAAATGCCTGGCCATTTTTTCATAATGGCTTGTGTTCAACTAGACTATCCAGGCTGGTTTGCAGAAGCCAGCCCAAGGAGTCATTGTCTGGCACAGTTCTGTAGAATGCGTTTTCCTATCCTATCCTAAATATTAGCTAAATTCTAACATCCACTAATTTATTGGGTTGGTGTTGGGGATCTCCCTCAACAAAGGTATAACAATATTATTGATGCCTATAAAGGAAGACAATCACATTTTTACTTGTATGTGAATTTTGCATAGCCAGGGATCAGATGCATTCTATTTGAATCACATTTTTGACATCCACTATTTTTAAAAATTGAACCGCACACATTTGGGAACAATATCTAACTTTTATATCTAACTTTATATGGAAGTGACTTTTTGATCCTTAACAGGTCTTCCTTTTTCCATTTCTATGGATACCTGTAGCACGAGCATATCCTTCACCACCTTCCTGCTGTCTTATTTCTGGCCAAAATGTAAAGACCCTGGAAAAGTCTTGTCAGTTTCATATCCCCTTTAAAATGGCCTGTAAGAGCGCACCAGCACCAGGGCACTTAGGCTCCTATTGTGCATGCACTTCCCTGGGAATAAGCCCCTTGAACTCAATGGGTTTCATTTCCGAGAAAATGTGCATAGTAATATTTTATGCCTTTCTGATGAGTGTGCAAGGATCTTGCTGAGAGCTGTGAAATTAATATGCTGGTCTGACCTAACGAGGTAATTCTTATGTACTTGCTCTGTGGTTAAACATAAGTGTGGCTTGAGAAAGAAATCTCTTCTTCATCTCCTTGCTCCCCTTTTCTTTCAATAGGAGAGTTTCTCCTTTAAATCTCTAAACTACCAGAAGCCTGTTGCACAGGAACTCAGAGCAGGGCTTTCAGTGTAGTGGCCCCTTTCTGCAGAAGAGTACCCCCCTTTGGGCTAAACCAGGCACCAACTGTTCATAGTTTCTGGAAACAATTGAAGACGTTTCTGTATTGCTAAGCTTTTCCCCTTAGGTGAAAATATCTTGGCCTTATTCTGTATTGTATTGTTGTTTTGCTTTAGTTGTATTGTTTTTAAAGATATTTTAAATGGTTTTTATGTAAATTGCTTTGAGACTAGTCTGGAACTCATTGTAAGTAAGAAGATAGGGAGGCTGAGGACAGAGTACTTTATAGGGGACTGTCCCAATGGCCCCAAATGAAATCATCTCCACTACTTAGTGGGACTTCAGACTGAAGATGGGATTATCCAAAAGAGAAGCCTTTTTAATGTGTAATGTTTCATGGTTTATATATGTTGGAAGCTGCCCAGAGTGACTGGGGAAACCCAGTCAGATGGGGGTGGTGGTGATACAAATGATAAGATGATGAGGATGATGCTCATACATGCTAGATCATATGAGAATGAGGATGCCTATTTTCTAGAACAGAAAAACTCTAAGCAACTTTCAATAATGAACATTAAAAACAAGGATAATAATGAAAGCTTCATCATATTCAGAGGTGGAGCTGCCCACAGGGGCACCGCAGAGAGCATTCCAGGGGGCACTGTGGCAATGTCATCCCCCCTCAGGGGTGACATCCACGGCAGACCGTACCACCCACACCCCCTTCCTCCACTAGTGATCATATTCATCTTCAGTGATGTACTTTATGTTTTACCTCCAACAAGCGTAGTTGTGCTGGTTGTTTTTCAAAAACCATATCCCTTTATTGGAAAAAGAACAGCACCTGCCATATTCATATATTTATGCTATTTTAAAACATTAAGAATGAGAGCACAGTGCCACACCTAGTCTCTTGTGAATAAGACCTACTGCTCACATTTCACTCCCTCCATTTTTACCCAACTCAGTATTTTATCTCCTCAAATGCAGATTATGGGCGGCGGGGGGATGTTTATTAGGAAAACTTTCCATATCGCTTGTGGGTGGTATCCAAACTAGGTCACTTGTCCATGTACAATGATTTTATGTGACCTATGGCTTCCTTTGTGCTGCTTTTAAAAGGTCACCTAATGATGACTCATATTCTTTCAGGCATGAAACTGTAGCAGAAAATGTGTGGGAGGGCTGATTATTCCATTTGTTATGTGTGAAATCACATGTAAGAAAAAGGAAGGGAGGAGGAGAAAGGGACTGATAATTTGAATCTACTCTAAATTATCACTGTGTAGCTAACAATATTGCCAGCTGCCCACCTGGCCTCTGTAGTTGTGCCTTTAGCAGCCGTTTGATATACAGGGATTGGCAGCTGAAACTTTTTATGGTACAGAGATAAACATGAAGTGCCAATGATCAAGGCCCAGGTTTTTTTTAAAAAAATATATTTTTATGAAAAGATTTTCTTGACTGACAGTAGAACATACAGAATCTCTGTTTTCAAGTCAAAGAATCATTCAAACAAGTCAGTCATATTCAGAGTAAGACATTACTCTTATAGGCAATATGGGGTTGAGGGAAAAGAGAAGTGGGAAGAGAGAGAAGAGCAAAAGGGGAGACAGAAAAGTTTCATTCCTTTATATCGCATATGAGCAAAGCTTCTTGTCAGCATCACGTAAGCAGGCATTTTATTTTTGCTAGTGCTACGAGATACCATAGGGCCCAGAGTGTGGTTGGTTGAGGTGTTTTGTTTATGTATGGGTGGGTGGGTGGGGGTCTTGCTGGGTCAAGTTGACCTCTCTCTGTGTGCCACTTTCTACAGTTTATAAACATGCC